AATAGTCCTTGTTCTGTACTCCACTTGAAGATAGATAGATCACAATAAAACAAGCTCACAACAAGAGTGGAATGATACCAGATATTCTGTATTTATTAAATTCTCATTATGTGTCAGACACTCGGTTAAGCAAAGTACATGCATTAGCCCTTTAAATTCTCAAAACAACCATATTACGTAGCTTATAAAATTCTACCACAGCGATTTTTTACAACAGTAAAGTGGATGAAAGAGGTTAAGCAATTTGTTGAAGGGCACTCAGCTTACAAGTCACGTTCCTGAGATTCACACCCAGTGCTGTCTGACTACATGTGCTGTCTTACCCCAAACCAATTCCTTCTCTAGGGGAAGAAAAAAAAAATCACAACATGTCCCAGCATGTTATCTCTGGGTCTACAGTGCTGTGACCGCTGATAATGATTACATATCCCCATGTTACGGTAAGATGCCCTGAAATTTAAAAACTCATAATAATTGTGCTCACAATGTTTTTATTATTAAGTAGAAAAAATTATTTGAAATATTTTTAATAGCAAGGGTGGATAGCAAGAGGGATTATCTTATAGCATCCCAGTTAAATTTGTATCCCATTGTAAAGTATTCTGATTACATTCACTGTCTCATATAAGTCATATTACACAGCACGTTTTATTGCTGGAGCCCCCAGGAACCATTCTGCAACTCCTGATGTTTGTATTTTGATTCATCAAATATGTAGGTATAAAATGAAAGATTAAGACATATCTAAACCAGAGACATTTCATATGTCAAGAACTTAACTACCCTTATACAACAAGTTCCAAGCCCTTAACAAGGTAAGTTGTTCTTGTTTGGCTTGGTTTCTCACTGCCAGGGGAAACAAGGGTTTAGAGTATTTAAAGTGACTTTGTACTATTGAATCAACCTTGCTTGTAAGTCCAGGGCTGACATGGTCATCTCCCTCTCTTTCTTTCCCTCTGTGGGTTAGGAGTCCTCTCTCTCTTCTCCTTAAGAAGACTGCCCAGTCACTGCTACCGTGTGTGTTATTTTGTTGTTGTTGTTGTTTTGTTTTTTGTAGACTAGACACTGAAAAACTCAAACAGACAAAGGGCCAGAAGAGAAACAGAACATCAGAAAGGCATAACTACTGTCCTGAGAAGAAAGTCATTGTGTCACACAACGGTCTACCATTTCAGTGCACAGGGCAGAGTAGAGTGCACCAAACACTCCTTTGCTCACATCCTGAAGTGTGAAAAGGGTCGTCCTAGTTTCGGTCATTTTCTTTTATTCTTCCTCTCAAAAGGAGCTAATGAACCAAAAAGGCAGGGCTATACAACAATTGTCCCCTTAGCAGGCTGTTGAGGAAGTGGTATTTCCATCCTTATCCCTGTTCTTGGATTGCTTTTGAGTCAGAGTAAGCATTCCTCCAGGAGAGGCAAAACCTTGTGGATGACAGCGTCCTCTCCTTCGTGTTCTAGGCCTTTCTCATAAAGTCCAGATCAATGCCGCACAGTCTGTTGGTCAGTATTGATGGAAAATTAATATAATGGAAAACAAAAGTTACCTAAAGGCATAAATACACTTTTCCTGTTAGAAATTCATAGCATAACCTTTCCATACTTGCTCCCTTTCTCTAAATCATGTAATAGGCTTGACGAAAACATATCAAAGATCATGGGGACAGTGAAGGACCAGGCAATGTTTGGTTCTGTTATACATAAGGTCAGCGTGAGTAGGAGCAGACTCAATGGCAGGTAACAACAACAGATACAATGTGCCATTCCTGAGTGTATTCGTTTTCTAGGGCTACTGTAACAAACTACCACAAACTGGGTGGCTTGAAACAAGAGAAATATATTCTCTTACACTAATGGAGACCAGAAGTTCAAAATAAAGATGTTGTCAGAGCTATGCTTCCTTCATAGTCTCTATAGAAGGAATATTTCCTTTCTTCTTCCAGCTTCTGGTAGCCCCAGGGATTCCTGTGCTTGTGGCAGCCTGACTCTAGTCTCTGACCCCAGTCTTCACAAGGCCCTCTTCCTTTGTATCCATGTGTCTGCATCTGTGTCTTAAATTTCCTTCTTCTTGTAAGGACACCAGTCATATTGGTTTAAAGTTCACCCTAATATGGTATGACATTAACTTACCTTATTACATCTGCAAAAACCCTATTTCCACACTCACAGGTACCATGGGTTAGGACTTGAACATATCTTACTGGAGGACAAAACGCAACCCAAAATGCTAAGTAATCAAATTAACGAATAAAAGGCAACATTATAGTGGAATAGATATTTTTTAAAGCACTGTGAACTTGAGAAATTTACTTAACCTTTCTGAGTTTAAGTTTCCTAGTATGTGATCAGAAAACTAAAATCGGTTTCACAGGGGATTTTGTGAAGTTTGCGTGAGATGAAATATTAAATTATTTATTCTTTCATTCATTTGGCCAAAAAATATTTAAGCTCTTACTATGTACCAACACTATACAAGGCATAGGTATATTAATATGAAAATCTCAAGATCTTTTGGTCTAAGACTAAAACAAGGATTATAAAATTCCGTCTCCATGAACTAGCTTTGAAATAATAATTACATCCTTATTTTCAATAATCTCTAACTGAAATTTAGAATTTTCTCTTATTATAAATGTAGGCAACAAACCACAGTGGTACTATTGGTATCTGTGACTTTGTCAAAATTAGAAATTACAGATATCATATCAGAGTGGTTGAAGATATCTTGAAAAATTGTTTTCACTCATCACTACTTTGAAGTTATGATGTGGATCCACTGCTAGGCCTTCTGACCTAGTGCTTTAATAAATAAACACACGGGGAGACCTCATACCATCAAGAAAGCAGTGCCAGGAGCAGAGCGCATCCTTTGGACCGGGGTCCCTGCACCGAGAAGCTCCTAGTCTGGAAGAACACTGATAAGAAGGCCAAGAGAGAGAAAGCCTTCCCCTGGAGCTGCCACCTTGAATTTGGATTTTTAGCCTGCTTTACTGTAAGGAAATAAACTTCTCTTTGTTAAAACCATCCACCTGTGGTATTTCTGTTATAGCAGCACTAGATGACTAAGAATTTGGTACCGAGAGAGTGGGGTGCTGCTCTAACAGATACCTAAAATGTGGAAGCGGTTTTAAAACTATGAATGGTTAGACGTACAGCAGTGACAGAGGACCAACAGCAGCAGAGAACCTACAGAAGCAGAAAAGAGGTAGCTGCAGAGAACCAACAGCAGCAGAACCAGGAGACCAGTGCGAGATGGCGCTGGAGCTGACCCACGGAGCAGGAGAGCTGAGTGCCTGTGTGCAGGAGGCTTCCTGGTGGAGTGGGGTGCCTCTGGGCACTTACTGGTGGAGCTACAGAGCTTTGGAACACTTGCCCCAGCAGGGCAGATGCAGGCATGAGGCCCGAGGGCCAAAAGGCCACAGGAAACAGAAGCAGAAGCTGAAGAAACAAGGGACACAAGAAGCTGAGCTGCCTCAGTCTCAAAAGATTTCACAGATGAAGAGGAATTTTTGGATTATGGACTTGGAGTTAAGACTTTTGCTATGATATGATGGGGTGAATATGTTTTCCATTTTGCAACGATGTGATTTTTTGGGGGCCAAAGGATGGAATGTCATGGTTTGAATTATGTCCCCCCAAAAATGTGTGTATCAATTCGGCTAGGCCATGATTCCTGGTACTGTGTGATTTTCCTGTATGTTGTAAACCTGCCTCCATGATGTTAATGAGGAAGAATGGGTGGCCTTTGTGTTAGTAAGGCAGGACCTGATCTACAAGACTGGATTGTGTCCTGAGGCAACCTCTTGAGATGTAAAAGACAGAAGTGAGCAGTGAGACAGCGGGACCTCATACCATCAAGAAAGCAGTGCCGGGAACCTAGCACATCCTTTGGACCCGGGTCCCTGTGCTGAGAAGCTCCTAGTCTGGGGGAACACTGACGAGAAAGCCGAGAGAGAGAAAGCCTTCTCCTGGAGCTGACACCCTGAATTTAGACTTCTGGACTACTTTACTGTAAGGAAATAAGCTTCTCTTTGTTAAAACCAAAAAAATAAATAAATAAATAAACACACGTGGTTAAGTGCTATGACTGCTAACCAAAAGGTTGGCAGTTCGAATTCACCAGGTGCTTCTTGGAAACTCCGGGACAGTTCTCTGTCCTACAGGGTTGCTATAAGTCAGAATCAACTCAATGGCAATGAGTTTGGTTTTTCGTTTTTTTATATCACGATATTTGGTAATATTGTAACAACTATATTTCATTATGATTGGCTTCCTGTGTCACTGTACCCATTTTATTTTATGTGTTTAAAAATATAATTCCGATAAGAGGTCTAGGGACTTCAACAGTTGGCCAAAAGTTTCCATAGTATAAAACGGTTAAGAAACCTGGCTCTACAAGAAGACCCATTTAAGTAAATCGGCAGTTACAATACCTTATACTTAGTGGTATGAGGGCATTGGTGGTTTAGTGGTAGAATTCTCACCTTCCTTGCAGGAGACCTGGCTTGATTCCTGACCAATGCACCTCATATGCAGCCACCACCTGTTTGTCAGTGGTGGATTGTGTATTGCTATGATGCTGAACAGTTTTAGTAGAGTTTCCAACAAAGATGGACTGGGAAGAAAGGCCTCGTGATCTACTTCTGAAAATCTGCCAGTGATAACCCTGTGGATCACCATGGTATGGCCCACAACTGATCATGAGGATGGCGTTGGAATAGGCAGCATTTCTTTCCATTGTGTATGGAATCGCCATGAGTCAGAAGCCAACTCTATGGCAACTGACAACCACCACAACATACTGACTGTTATCACAGCAGTATAATTAATGACACGGTAGGAATACTATGGAATTCCAGAGAATGACATCAAACCTAGCCTGGGTCAGTAGCTGTGTGTGAGGGAATGGGGAGGGCAGCACTCCGGAGTGAACTTTGGATCATTTCAAAGGTAAATAAGATTTTCTTTTCTTTATTTTATTGTTGTACTTTAAAGGAAAATTTAGAAAATATGGAACGCTTCACGAATCTGCATGTCATCCTTGTGCAGGGGCCATGCTAATCTTTTCTATACTGTCCCAATTTTAGTATATGTGCTGCTGAAGTAAGCACTAAATAATGTTTTAGCTAAGTGTGACAGAGGAGGTTAGAATTATCCAGGCCAAAAGTAGGGGTCCAAGTGAGGGATAAGACATGAGGGGGAAGGGGTTGGATATGGTTCAGCTTGTGCAAAGGCAGGGAGGTATGCCTGGGAATGTCTATGGCTGGAGCCCAGGGTGCAGATGGGAAGTGCGAGACATAAGACGAAGGAGATAAGAAATGGCTAGCCCATGAAAGAGTTTGGGTGCCTTGCTAGGGAATTTAATAATTATCCTGGATTTGATTCAGAGCCACTGGAAGATTTTTAACAGAAGGATGCTATCGTCAGATTTTAGAAAGATTATTCCGGCTGCATTGTGAAGAATGTATTATTAAGGTGTAGCAATTGTAGGGATAGTGGGAGGCATTCAGGGAGGAGAACATGCCAAGTTATAAGGCTGTGGTAGTAGTCCAGGCAAGAAATGATGAGGGCCTGAACCAAGGCTCTGGCAATGTGTAAAATTACTTCGTAAAATGTAAAATGCTGCATTAGAGTTGAGAGAAAGAAGGAGGGAAAGAAAGGAGAAAAGAAGGGAGAAAAAGAGTGAGGAAAGGAGGAAGAAGCAGAAGAAACAGAAGGAATGAGAGTAAGGGAAGAGAGGAAGACAGTTATAGAGGAATTGTAGTCTTCAGCTAAGTAGACATTTGAAGTCAAAGTGTTTCATTAAACTACAATCACAACTGTTAGTCTACCCTGGAGGTGTGATAGGATTACAAGTGCATCAGGTCTACCCCAGTCAGCCAGATGGCTGCTGATTGGTTCCACTGAAAACTAATCAGAACCTCTCTTCAGTGGTTCAATTGCAGCATAAATAGCCACAGCCAAGGTGAACTCAGTGAAAGGAAGCAGTTGCCAAGTTCACAAATAATGTCCAAAAGGGAACAGGAAGGGAGCACAATCTCTTTTTGGAAGTTAGCAGTAGCTAGGTTTGTTTACAAGCTCCCAGAGACTCTGACTGCACACACACACGCACACACACACACACACACACACAAACACACACTCCCTTCTGTAGTTTTGTATTTGAGAAACATAATATAGGCTGTATTTCAAATTGGATTCAATATGAGAGTTGCAAGAACACATCTAAGGGTATAATTTGACCTAGAGCAAGTAAACCAATACACCCATTCGAACACATACAAAATGTGAATTAAAAAATTACTAAAAGTAAAGATGCAAAGTAAGAGCTCGATTATATCAGTTTTCTTTAGTTCGTTTTTCTTTTTTGGTGTTAATTATTGGTGCCAAACAGGAATTGCCTATTAGACACCACCGAATCTCTTTTTAAGAGCTTTGAGCTTATAGAAACATGTTTTTCTGTATGATTCACTTCCAAACAAATGACATTCTGCTTTCTTCTTGATGTATTCCTGAATAATTGAATAATTCTCCAGAAGACAGCAAGGCTTATTTTGGAAAATACCCAAAGTCAAAAATGCTAAGAGGGAGTCCCCATTCAGAGATATGGTTATGCAAACGAAGAAGTCTTAATTTAAGCAGCTCTCCCCAATTCCGCTCCAAAGGTTCTCTTCAAAATTCAAAGTTTGTCAGCTCCAAATCCAGTTTTCAATGCATTAGCTTTTACATAAGGGAGAGAAAGAAGAGAGGTATATTCAGCCAAAGGAAACTTAGTATGAAAGCGACATGACAAAAGCATAAAATTATTATTTTTTTATTAGAAACAGATGACAATCTAGGGAGCCCTTTTGGGATAATTAAAACCTCTATGATGGGAGTTATTCTCTCTTAAGTCAACTAACATTTAAATCCATGTTTTAAACAATTTTGAGGGTTCTTCTGAAGCTAAAGTTTGCTGCATTCTTCTGTTTAAGATTTAGCATAAAAAAAAAATGTATGCAAGCTCTGTGCATGACATCCTTTCCATTTTGAGAAACTGGGTTTGTATGTAATATCTGACAGCCCAACGGAAAGAAAAGCTCTCATTTTACCCAGTCCTTTATAGAGCCAGAGGCATTTTCCAACACATTCCAAAAGCCCCTAATGACACTTCACCCAATTCAGCCTTCTGAAGCTTGGTACATAATTAATGAGGTGCTGGAAGTTCTCTAAAATTAGTTTTCATCTAAATAAAGGTGCCCGATGTTTATCTGTACCCTTTGTACTCATTGTTGCCTTCAATATACCAAGCTTCCTGTTGGTACAGGGAACTATCGATTTGCTGACTAATCTTTTTATCTGATCATTATAGATTGTAACTCTCACTCTATAACCTTTACACACACTGCTATTGTGGTTAAATAAAACACAATACAAAATACAAAATATGTTCCCATACCTATATTTCTCTTCCATGCAAAAGCAGAAGTAAGACTTTGATTTGACAACTGGACTTTCATATTTTTAGAGAAAAGTATAAATAGAAAATGAATATACAGTCTTTGTTGCCTTAATATAAATTACTCAAGAAAAAATAGTATGTAGCCTTGGGGAATTCAACAGCTTCTTCAATTGGATTGCTTCTGTCACTGTATGGACACAGTCTTGTTTGATGTCCTCCTACCATTTGTCTTGTATGGAGTCTTTTATCTAAATCCAAAGTAGTGCAGTCATCAGGGCTGCAATTCAATAATGGCTCCACGGGAGCTGTCATCCACAGTTTGCTATTCATCTTGTAAAAAGGCTCTCAGTTTTCAAAGTACCAACTAAGGTTGGCATTTCAATGCCGTGGACAGATCACTTAAAGTTCCTTTGTGTTCACAAGAAAGAGAGTGAAATTGAGAATGGGGGAGATTAAATAGTCAACCTGCTACTCTGCCTGACTACCTAGGGGTAACCCCAAGCTATCCAAGGGAGTGAAGACATTAGATGATCTGACCCACATGTAATGGGACATTGAGATGAATGCGGGACACACTGAGTGGTGTTTAGTTCACATGGAGCTCCACTGCTATAATTAAGAGGCAGCAAATTTATGAAAATTTACCAAACATGGATAGTTTAGGAAAAAAAAAAGAAAGCAATGATGGAGAAGATAATTCCTTGGGACATTCTGATGATCAAAGCATATTAGAAAGAAGAGCATATTTAAGGAGTTTAGAGATGAATAGCTGAAATTAAAGATACGAGTTAATAGGCCAAAATTCTCACATATGGGTGTTCTTCTTTGTGTTTGAACGGACTGATTTGGGGTTACCACCACAGGACTTGATTGTTGAGTTCTTTTGATGGAAGTATGGATAGTTCACTCTTCCATTCCGACACAATTTCCTAGTCCTTCTGTGACCTTGATGTGTAGATAAAGATTAGACTAAGAAAGGATGATGAAAGATTTCCTGGAACCATGAAGGGATTAAGCCAAGTACAACTTCAGCAGACCCATAATACATGGCTATTTGCTTGATGGCCCCTGAGTATAGAACAGGGTAGGAATATTTACTTATGACTGAAACCTCCCAAATCCTGCACTAATTCACTGTGACTTGCCTTTCTGAAGTGGGAAGGTTGACAGAGAGAAGATATAATAGAAAGAGTTCAGAGTCGTACACCTACTCCTCACTTATTGACTATCTCATTCCTTATCTGACATTTCAAATCTACAACAATAGTAAAAAATCTACTATCTGACTGTTTTGCGCAGTAACAGCATATTTCTGGCAGTAACGAATGCCGAGGTGTGAGGTGAAAGTAACGCTGGCTGTGATGGTTAAGGTTATGTGTCATCTTGGCTGGGGCATGATTCTCAGTAGTTTGGCAGTTATATAATGATGTAATTTGGCAGTTATGTAATGACATAGTCATTCTCCATTTTGTGATCTGATGTGGTCATCCTCCATTTTTGCATAATGCCAATTTTCACATAACAACCTGGTATTTGGAAGCTAATTATGTCAATTAGTGAGGAGCAGCTGTAGTTAAAACCTAGATTCTAAGCACAGCTCTGTCAATATGATTAACTGTATGATCTTGGGCAAGTCGTCTGGTCTCCAGGCCTCAATATCCTCATCTACGAAATGAGAGTTTTGGGCTAAAAGATTTCTAAGATATATATTTTTTCCTAACCACATTGTGATCCAGTGAATGCAGTAGATGCTAGCTATATTTTTCTGCACAGGTCAAAGATTTATTCATTCATGCATGCTTATGTGCAAGCAAGCATACGTTCAACAATTATGTGTTGAATTCCTTTTGTGTCAAGCACTGTGTTAGTGGTTGAGAATAGAATAGGTTGTAAAAGCATGTTTTGTTTCTGTCCTCATGGAACTTGAATTTTTAAAATAATGACACAAGTGGGAAACTCACCACTGTGATAAGTGCTAAATCTTTTAAACATGCATGGTGCTGTGAAAGCTTACTAACAGGGCAACTTGACCTAGCTTGGAAGGTCAGGGAAAGCCTGAGTATTAGATCCCTAAGCTGAATTCTGAAGGCTAGTGAGGTGATCTTGTTTGCCATAATCAGTCTAAATTTTATCATGCAAAGAATAAAAAATTATTGTAAGGTTTTAAATACAAAGTAGCGTAATCAGGTCTGTATTTGCAACAGATTTTACAAAGAATTTTCTGTTTAAATTGTAGAAATAGTGGATTCAAATGGCTCACCTTCCAGTTAGTAGCCACACTCTTAACCACTACGCCACCAGGTTTTCCATAGAAATAAAGTTGAAAGGGAGCAAAACTAGAGGCAAACTTAACCTTCCTCATGAGACAAGACAAAACTATTTGCCACTGAGTCTGTTCCAGCTAATAGCGACCCTACAGGACAGAGTAGAACTGCCCCATAGGGTTTCCAATGAGAAGCTGGTAGATTCAAACTGTTGACCTTTTGGCTAGCAGCTGAGCTCTTGACCACTGCACCACCAGGGCTCTGAAACAAGACAAGAATAATTAAATAGTAGCAGGAATATTAGGAGATAAATAGCCCTGGTGGTGCAGTGGTTAAGAGCTCAGGTTGCTAACGAAAAGGTTGGCAGTTTGAATCCACCAACTGCTCCTTGGAAATTCTATGGGGC